GAAAAGTATCCATCAGAACCATTTACGCCAGTAGTGCTCGCACTGCCAAACACGATGGGCTGAGCACGATCGTAGTATGGGAGAGATGGGGGTGGTGGAGGACGGGGGGGGGGAAGTGGGCGAGATGCTCTCATGTGTCTTCCGATGTCCACATCTCTGCCTCTTTTTTCTGTTCATAGTGTATCCCTCCTCTCTTGCAATGTGTCAGGCTGGGAGAGAATGCAGATTTGCGTCAATGTGGAAGAGGGGCTATCGATATGGGTAGCTGTTGCCTAGCGTAAGGTCAACATCGGTGGGTCTCTTTCGCAGTTACTCCACTTCAGTGGCTGAATTCCCTGTCATTCGGTCACTCGGCCATTCGGTGAATGGTTGGCGCTTCTTGGTGGTGGCAGGGAGTTGAGAGAGACAATGGGAAACACCGCCCAGCGGCTCCACGCCAAGGCAGGAAAGGGGCATTGCGCCATGAAATAGGCTGGACTGGACTTACTCTAAACCCGTTCCTGAATCTTTCCAAAGACAAAAGCGTGGCACTCCCGAGTCGCTTCTCTCGTTAGTGGAGTGTGAACTTGAAACGTCTTCCACGTTCTACTTCCCCTCCTTTGAACACTTTGTTGGCGACAGATCACGAACTGATCTCACCTCTCTTTTTTCTTAACACTAGGTTACCATACAAGCACAATACTTGTAGCATTCGCACCCTCTCGCTAAAGCCGTAAGAGCGAAATACGAGAATACCGGTAACGGCCCGTCTGATAAAAGGAAAAGAAAAAAAAAGCCCCTGTAGAAGCAAGATGCATGATTGTATATCCTTGTGCTCACGGCGCAGCGATGGATGGAGGAATACCGGTAGCGGTACTTGAGGTTACAAAAAGATTGGCGTTGTTGCTAAAATTGAGGATGGAAACGCCGGGAGGAAGGTGAAGATCACACACTCATACCCGCCGGGAAACTCATCGAGGGGTTCGTTTGCCAATGTTCGGTTCGAAGGGATTGGTGGGCTGTGGATACGCAAATGGAAACCCAATTCAACGAATCAGCGATGCTCCCTGGGTTCTCGAAGGATCCAACGCATCGGTGTGTGATGCTGTTCCCAAGGGTTCGCTTCCCGGCGAGTGCCCCACCAACAACAGTCGCAGTGAACTGGCACTTGGGGCAGTCATCGATCGAAATGATTGTGACCATTCATGAACCTGGGTTATTGGTGGCAGCTTGATTTGTGGTGCTGTACTGTACGAGTACAAAGCCGGGGTAAAGGCCCATAGCCTGGAAAAGAGGTACCGTGCAGTAGGAGAATGCCGTAGGGGCAAATGTGATATTACACTTGTTGAAGTTGGTATTGTGCTGTACGGTACTGTACCAATATAGAGCCCGATTAGCTGCATGTGCTTATACAAAAGAGGGGAGGAATAGGAAGTGAAAGGATGACTTTCCGTCATAAGTGATATATGGATGAGGAATACTGGTAGTATACAAAGAGAAGCGATATCAGCATTACTAGAGTAGACCATGGCATATTGACTCTCCGTGCTGTTGGAAACTCCTCAAGTATTAGGAACTGTGCAGGTGTCGCAGTTTTTGATTTTTATTTAGTCCTCGGTGCGAACTGAATGCTTCTCTTTGGGTGACTTCAGGTGGGAAATTAGCACCGGGGACCAATACTACTGGCAACATGTTCCTGGAAGGTGGCTCGGCTGAGCTGTGGGAAGTTATGGTACAGCTATCTAGTGGCCTCACCAATGTTGGCCTTGGATGGTTACCTGGTCATATGGGCATAGCAGGTCATGCCAGTAAGATAGTTGATTTGAAGGCCAAGAGATATGGTCAGTTGCTCATATGCCCCCCTACTTTGGTAAGGAATCAGCTTTGGAATTGGACATGCTACCCTTATCTGGAAACCATGGAAGAAGGAGGAATAAAGTACCTGGTATAATGAAAAGAGGTATAGGTATTATACTTGTAATCTCAAACTTTCATTGCATATCTACAGGCTTACTTGAATAGATACTTACTATATTCTCTGAGTGGTACAGGTTTGGTTGATTATGATAATTATTATGGTTATTATCTGGTATGGGTGATAATTCCTGCAATTACGACACATTACTTGACCTAGTGGTAATACTCTGAGAAGTCCATTGGCTTCTTTGGTAGTGCTTCATAAGAGTTCTAAACTCTTCTAATCATCACAGAATGAATGTAAATGTATTGATTCTTTGTAAAGATCATTTAACAGTTAATACCATATCACTATGTGAAAATGTCCTGTTACATATGGTTCATATCAAAGATATTACATCTTTGAAGTCTAGTAACTATCACAAACTTGATTGTGAGAAAGCAGATTGGAGTGAAGGAATAAGGCTTTCAAATAACTCGTGCTAGTGAGTTATAGGTGTTTATTGTTATGAGATAACTTACAATTGTAAGTCATATGATATTATGACTTTTACGCATGACTTATACTTATAAGTCATGAGTCTCATGCATGTGATGCATTTGCGTACATGACTTGCTATGATGTTTATGATTGGTTTAGATGTGTTGTACAGTTGACTCATACGAGTCAGTTGAGGATTTCAAATGATCCACACTTGTGAGTCATAGGACATGGTGACACGAAGTTATGAGTTACATAGGGTTAGAGTTGGGTAAGATGTCTGTAGAAATAGCAAGGTCCAGGAACCTCCCATATATGGTCATCACAGGCCCTACTGGGTGGCCTGGCTACCTACATCACTGCTATCTCAACTGGTTTCCTTCCTGTTAGGCAGAAACAATCTGATAGACTTCAGAATTGTCTAAGCCAATCGAAATTCATTTCTGTAGACAGAGATTGTCTAGGCAGACTCGGGTTCACTCTTTTCGCTTATGACTACAAAGAGCGAAGTAAATTCGGTAAAGTAAAATAGAATTGTAAAAATAATATTATATTATTAAGGTCTCTTCTTTGTTGCTTGATAATGTTTAAAGCTTGGGAGACACTTCGATATTTATATTCTACATCTGAGTATTCGTGGATAATATCTATTTATCATACCACTATGTACCTTGCTGATTATTGCTTGCAACATCAGGTATTCTTGAAAGGTGTGAACACCTGGAGATCCTGAAATTCTCCATACCCTCTATGCTAATTATGATATAACTAACTCGAAATCATACTGTTCCCAATAGTAGTTATCCGATCTTTAGAGTCTTTAGACTTGTGGCCTAGTTCTCAAGTTGAACTGAGTTGACTCCAATTGTCTTCATTATTGATGAAATGATCAGTTTCATCTGTGGGTTGTATCTGCGAAGATAGTTGTAATCACAACCCTTTTTTGATTGCCTGACTTTAAACCTCTATAACTCCTTACCCAACCAATAAATATCTTCTGGAGGACTTCCTACTAATTTGCAGAAAGCTATTCTACCAGATTGACAATTTTTCTGTCAGTTTTCAACCCTTGATTGCTTTGGGTAACAGGATTTCAATCACCGTTACAGTATGGGAAGTTGTCTTCATAACTACAACCTGTTCTGAAACCTGGTTGCAATACTCCATAAAGTCTAATAACTTCTATTGTAGTGTTTCTCGGAGTTCTAGACTCTTCTAGACATTGTAGGGTGGGTGTGAATATATTGGTCTCTTGCTGAGATCCTTTACTATTCAATACAATTTCTTTGTGCGGAAACGTCCCGTTACCTACAGCTCATACCAAGGGTATCACCTCTTTGAAGCCTAGTAACGTTCTGAGCAGTTGACGGATTTACTCCGTTCCACTTCTCAGACCTAGCTGAAGGTTCCTCTCATATATCCTGTGAACAGCATCTGGTAAGATAGACAGCGGCAACATATACAGTGTTATTTTGACACCTTGCATTCTGTAGTATTATAGTTACAGGACGCAACTGAGATTGATATGTATGATGACATGTGGGCCCTGTAAGAGGGCCAGAGGGGGTTGTTGGAGACCAGAGAGTCCAATTCTGGGTGAGGTTACCCTACTTAGGGTGACTCCTGGGTATTGGATCTTGGTATTCCTAACATGAGTTCTCTCCTCTTAAGGCTTTGCTCCGAATGCATTTTTTGGTACATGATAAAATAATAAAAATTAAAAACATTAAATTTCAATCATTAGCTCCATTAGGACCCATTGAGAGCAGGGTGAAAAACCTTCTGCATTTGCTTGGCCATGGTAGGAAAACCTTCATCATCCTTCCTCTGCCTGCCATGATATTTTCGGATTATTACAGTAGAACTCTTCCACCATCTCCTTTATATTATCTATGCCTGTGACAGGTTCCCTGGTGTTCTCATCCTCAGAACAACCTTGCCATTTAACAAAGTACCATAGTTCGCATACCTCCTGGTAGCGACCACATACTTGTTTTCGGTAAGAGCGTATCTCACTCCTCATGATTTTCTCGATTTCCCATTGTAAGTTGTCCTCAATATCTCTAGGTTCTCTGGGAGGTTGTTGTTGGTCCACGCATGCCAACTCCCTGTAAGGTTCTAACAGAGATGCATAGAACACTGGATGTATGTTTATTGATCTGAAATTTTGAGCTTGCAGGCATGATTTCCTCTTTTTTCCAAGGTCACGAATGGTTTATATAATTTTAGACTGAGTTTCTTTGACTTCCGACATGTACAAATGTTCTTTGCATTTAACATTACTTTATCGCCGATTTTGTAGTCTAGTTGTTGCTTGATCTTCGTATCATAGTATTTGGCTATAGCTTTGGGTGTCTGATGGAGTTACTGCCTTGCTTGTTCGTGGATCGTCTCTATCCAGTTTGCATAAAGTGTAGCTCATGGATTTTGCATCTTGTATTCCTTTATCCATTCTGTTCGTAGATGAAACCCATAGTT